TGGTTTTGGAGGGCTGTCTGAACGATACTGTGAACGATACCTCAACGACACCCGGAAAGCACAAAAGGCGGGCCACCGCTCACCCAGTGGTGGTCAGCGTGTGGGCCCTGCTCCACCTCCCATGCTTGTGGGCGGTCTGGAACCAGCGTCAAAAAGCATGTCATGGAGCTTGTGGGGAGGCGCAGCATCTACACCCTTCCTGCCTTCAACTTCCTGCCTTCCTGCCTTCCTGCCTTCCTGCCTTCCTGCCTTCCTGCCTTCCTGCCTTCCTGCCTTCCTGCCTTCCTGCCTTCTTGCCTTCCTGCCTTCTTCCCTTGCTCCCTTCCTTCTTCTTCTGCCCTGCCTCCCTTCCTCTTCTGCCCTGCCTCCCTTCCTCTTCCTCCCTTCCTCGTCCTCCCTTCCTCGTCCTCCCTTCCTCTTCCTCCCTTCCTCTTCCTCCCTTCCCTTCCACCCTCCTTTTTCCCTTGCCCCATCCTTCCTTGCTCCCTTACTCCCTGGATTCCTTTATCCCTTCCTCCCCATCCTTCTTCCCTTCGTCCTTTCTCCTCCTGCTTTCTCTTCCTCCCAGTTTCTCTTCCTCTGCTCTCTTCCTCCATTCTTTCTCTTTCCCCCTTCCACCCTTCCTTGACATAAACACACCAGTGTCTGAAACATTGCAGAACGATATAGCGAAGCCCCCGCCCAAAGTAGTCTTAGGTTTTGCCTCTCGCTCACGTGTGCTTGAGGACTCCACACATGTCTTCCCAGAGGTCCGGAACAACCAGCCTTACGTAACTGACTCGTTCCAGACGTCCGCGTCACCGCGGAACGTTCCACACCAGAATATTGACCCACACCCATATGATCTGCGGGGCTTGCAGCGTGTTTTCTGTATGTGTCTATACATTTTACACAATGTTGCAACTTGTCCGGAAGTCTGCTGTCATCTGGGTTTTCTCGCACTACCAGCGCTGCTACTACTGCTGCTGCTGCTACTATTACTACAACGTTTCTAGTAGGATGCCGGATGACGCCAGATGATGACAGAAGATGCCAAACAATGCCGGATGACTGCGCTCCTGACTGCTATGCTGAACTTTGCTATCTTTATCACGGAGCTGCCGTTCATGTTTCAATTTCCCCGCTACAAAGCCAGAGACCCCAAAACTGAACACAAAGAAACACAAGTTTTTCCACAACTGAAAACTGCCCAGATGCCAATTTGTGAAAAATCCAGAACCTGCTGAAACCAAGTCCCTGTGCATGAAAATAACACTAATGTTTCTTCCCTGAACTTAGAAGCAAATCAGGCTATCATATTAGTCGTTCCGGCAAGTCGTGAGATGGTTGAAAAGCTTACCCTGCTCCCAAATGCTCATGCTACCAGATGTGACAGACAGCTGCGACAGAGGCTCTGACAGACAGATGCCATTACGGCTCGAGTCAGTGGCTGGGCCAGGGCAGCTGTGACGCTGCTGGTTGGGTTCTTGGTTTTGCCGGGCTGTGCTGTTGCACTGCTGGGCTGTTGGTTGGGTTCTTGGGTATTGTTTTTGCTGGGCTGTTGGGCTCTGTCAGGGTTGTTCGACTTCTGGGTGCTTTGTTGGGGCTGTTGGGGTTGTTTGACTGCTGGGTTCCACTTCTGCTGCTGGGAATATGTCTTGGGTTGTTGGGCCACTGGGTTGTTGGGCTACTGGGCTGTTGGGTTCTTCTAGTGCTGCTGGGAGAAAGGTTTGTGGTTGGGTTAGGTGGTTCTTGGGTTGTTGGGCTGTTGTTGCTTTTTGCTGTTGGGCTGTCGTTGGGTTTAGGGCTTAGGGTTCAGGGTGAGCTGTTGGGTTGTTGGGCAGTTGGGCTGCTGGGCTGTTGGTTGGGTTCTTGGGTATTGTTTTTGCTGGGCTGTTGGGCTCTGTCAGGGTTGTTCGACTTCTGGGTTCCACTTCTGCTGGGATTAAGGTTGCTGCTGTAGAGCTGTGCTACCTCCGATTTGTGGCTTCCGCCGCAGGCCGCCGACTGGCTTCACAGAGTGGGATGTTGAGCTCGATTGCAGCGCGGAACAAAGCGGGATCGTTCGTAATACAATACCACTGCAAACGGGAGCGGTTCCCCTCTTCTCAGGGGTGTCGGCTCACGGAGGTAAGGAGTGTGTTTGTTTTTCCCCCATGGCAGGTCTGGAAGCCATGTTGGGTACATAATTTAGATGAACTACTTGGCCGCCGCGGGGTGGTTTTCCCGCACCAAACGTGTGTGTGTGTGTGTGTGTGTGTTTGTTCTAGACGTTTGTTGGGCCCCCGACAGAATTTCAATGTTGCCCAGTGCCTCTCACTTATTTTAGTGCCTCCGGCTCAGGCCGCCGACATTACAGGCCTGCTTTCTTATTTGCGTCCCTTTGGAATTGTCCCCTTGCCCCCTTCCCCTCTGAGATTTTTGCCCCCCTTTCTTTGTTGAGATCCATACCCCCTTTCCGCCCTAAGGCCTTTTCTCCCTCTGATTATTTCCCTTTTCCTCCCTAAGATGTTTTCCTTCCGAAGATCTTTTCCCCACTTTCCCTGTTAGGCTTTCCCCCCTAAGTCCTTTTCTCCCAGATCTTCTCCCTTTCCTCCCTAAGATCTTCCCCCCCCTTTCCTCCTTAAGATCTTTCCCACCCTTTCCCTGTTGAGATCCTTTCCCCCCTTTCCCTCCCAAGGCCTTTCCCCCCCCCTGAGAGCTTCTCCCTTTTCCTTCCTAAGATCTTTTCCCCCCTTTCCCTGTTGGGCTTTCCCCCCTAAGTCCTTTTCTCCCAGATCTTCTCCCTTTCCTCCCTAAGATCTTCCCCCCCCTTTCCTCCTTAAGATCTTTCCCACCCTTTCCCTGTTGAGATCCTTTCCCCCCTTTCCCTCCCAAGGCCTTTCCCCCCCCCCTGAGAGCTTCTCCCTTTTCCTTCCTAAGATCTTTTCCCCCCTTTCCCTGTTGGGCTTTCCCCCCTAAGTCCTTTTCTCCCAGATCTTCTCCCTTTCCTCCCTAAGATCTTCCCCCCCCCCTTTCCTTCCTAAGATTGTTTCCCCCCTTTCCCTGTTGAGATCCTTCCCACCCTTTCCCCCTGAGGCCTTTCCCCCCTGAGAGCTTCTCCTTCCTTAGATCTTTCCCCCCTGTCCCTGTTGGCCTTTTTTCCCCCAGATCTTCTCCCTTTCCTCCCTAAGATCTTTTCCACCCCTTTCCCTGTTGAGATCATTTCTCCCCTTTCCCCCCTAAGGCCTTTGCCCCCAGATCTTCTCCCTTTCCTCCCTAAGATCTTTCCCCCCCTTTCCCTGCTCAGATCCTTTCCTCCCTAAGGCCTTTCCCCCCCTGAGATCTTCTCCCTTTTCCTCCCTAAGATCTTTTGCAATTTTTCCCTGTCGAGATCCATTCCCCCTGTCCCCCCTAAGGCCCTTTCTCCCTCTGAGTTTTTCCCTTTTCCTCCCTACGATGTTTTCCCCCCTCTCCCTGTTGAGATCCTTTCCCTCCTTTCCCCCCTAAGGCCTTTTTTCCCCCCGCGATCTTCCCCCTTTTCCTTCCTAAGATCTTTTCCCCCCTTTCCTTGTTGAGATCCTTTCCCGCCCTTTCCCCCCTAAGGCGTTTTCCCCCCCAAGATCTTCTCCCTTTTCCTCCCTAAGATCCTTTGCCCCCTTTCCCTGTTGAGCCCCCTTTCCCCCCTTTCCCCCCTGAGATCTTCTCCCTTGTCCTCCCCAAGATCTTTTCCCTTGGTTGAGTTGAGATCCCTTTTCCCCTTTCCCCCCGAGATCTTCTCCCTTTTCCTCCCTAGGATCTTCTCCCACCTTTCCCTGTTGAGCTCCTTTCCCCCTTTTCCCCCTAAGGCCTTTTCAGATCTTCTCCCTTTTCCTCCCTAAGATCCTTTGCCCCCTTTCCCTGTTGAGATCCTTTCCCCCTTTCCCCCCTAAGGCCTTTTCCCTGCCTGGGACCTTCTCCCTTTCCTCACTGAGATCTTTCCCCCCCTTTCCCTGTTGAGATCCGTTCCCCTCTTTCCCCCCTACGGCCTTTCCCCCCGCTGAGATCTTCTTCCTATTCCTCCTTAAGATCCTTTGCCCCCTTTCCCTGTTGAGATCCTTTCCCCCCTTCCCTTTACGGCCTTTCCAGATCTTCTCCCTTTTCCTTCCTAAGATTGTTTCCCCCCTTTCCCTGTTGAGATCCTTCCCACCCTTTCCCCCCTCAGGCCTTTCCCCCCCATGAGAGCTTCTCCCTTTTCCATCCTTAGATCTTTCCCCCCTTTCCCTGTTGGCCTTTTTTCTCCCAGATCTTCTCCCTTTCCTCCCTAAGATCTTTTCCACCCCTTTCCTTGTTGAGATCATTTCTCCCCTTTCCCCCCTAAGGCCTTTGTCCCCAGATCTGCTCCCTTTCCTCCCTAAGATCTTTCCCCCCCTTTCGCTGTTGAGATCCTTTCCCCCTTCCCCCCTTCATTTCCTTCACCAGCATGGGCAACATCCCCAGCATCACTTGCATCATCTGCATCCTTGGCAGGCGCTGATGCGGATGATGCAGGTGATGCTGGCGATGTGCCGCTGGAGCTGCTAAGGATGCGAAAGCGCACCCGGGGGGAATCGAACACCCCAATGTTTTTGACAAACTGAGTTGCGCAAGCCCGCACAATGAACAGATTTAGTGAAGCGTCTTCGAATCACCGCGTGGTACGTGGACCCCCCCCCCCCGCAATAGTCTGAAATGCTGCCCCTGGGGAGGGGTTAGGGGAGGGGTAACAGGTAAAGAGGTAAGGAGCATTTCTTATGTCCAACACGCCGTCTGTTGTCGGCGGATTCTTGAAAACTCATTGGGACAAAGTAGCAAGAGAGAGAGAGAGAGAGAGAGAGAGAGAGAGAGAGAGAAACCAAAGGAAAGATAAAGAACCGAGGGGAGGGAGTGAGGGAGAAGACGACAAGGAAAACCACAATTGTTGGGTTCCCTGAAAAACAACACACATCCATATTCACTCATGAAAGCCTGATTTGTGTCCTGAAATTCACGCAATCGCGCTGTGGCTGAAACCAGTGGCCAAGGTCCTACTATCCCGACCGCTGAGTGTTCCGGCGCTCTCCGCTCCGCAGATCTCGCCTGGCGAGAACCTTCAGCACTTGGCCGCGAAACGCGCCGAGTCGTTTCCGTTTCCCAGGCCGAGAAAATGGTGGGCACGCGCTGATGCCTTCGCCACAGAGCCCCAACAAGCTTGGGTTCGGTAAAAGTGAGGCACCTCGGGGCGTTTCTTTCAAAAGTGGGGCAAGGGCCGCAAGTGCAAACAGGTCACCCTGAGGTTCTTGCTACTGGGCCAGCATCACAAAGTGGGACTTGCTTGACATCCTGAACGAATCTGAAATGTGGAGCCAAACATTTCGGCTCCAACTCGGCAGTTGGACGCCAGGCACACGGGAAGTGTCCCCCATGTTTTTTTGTTGAAGATGTTCCCGTGGATCGATACCCATGAGATGTGGCATGGCAATCTATTTGTAATCTTCTTTGAGGCTACTCTTTCGTTTTGTAACTCAGTTGTTCAGTGGCACCCTTGTTTCCCCCTCTTTTTTTGGTGGCTGCCCCACTAAACATGGTCTTCCCCAACAAGGGTTCCCTGTTTTTTCCAGGGTCACTGAACAACTGAGGTAAACAAGCCTTTGGAACCACGACAAGGAGAAATCTGCATGCGTCACGGATCAATTCGTCCGATGCCAGCCGCTGGCTCCAATTAGCTACAAGTCTCAGTCCGAAACTTGACTGCTATTGGGTTGGATCTTTAGACTTTATTTTTTTGGGAAATCAAGTTGGGTTTTCAAAACTAAACCCACCAAGAGTTTAAAACTTTTTGCAGGGGGGGTCAACAGCAACAAAGGAAATGCAAAACTCGAGCCGGATGATCTGGAGAGTTTCATGCTAAGGAGGGACCAGGGTTTCATGCTAGAAGAGTTTCCGAATTTAGCTCCATTCGTCTCCACGCCAGACACAACCTATAGAGTTTCATGCTGTTTGGTGCATCCAAGGTCCAGCGCACATTGCGAACAGCCGCCTATCACAGTGTGCTCATGGCAACTCGTGGCTAGTTCCAGTGAAATCATGGCATGCTACTGCGTGATTCGTTTTTTGCGACACTTGACGTTGGACAAGACACCTGCTCAGGGCCTGAGGGTATGCGATAGCCATGTACAGGCATGTCAGCCTGCTGTCCTTGTGGTAGGGAGCCTAGGTGCTCCCAGCTGTCACCTTAGTCTCATCCTGTAGCATGACACCTGGGGATCGAATTCGTGGATTTAACACGAATCGTGGATGGGACAGGATGAGGGGAATACGCAGGTATATGTCGGCACAAAAGACTTGAGTGTGCCACAAATGATTAAGAGCTGGCTCTCTACTTGGTTGCGCAAAAGCGGACCTCTGAGTTTGTAGGATTTCAGTGTAGATCCCTTTTCAGTCAGGGTCTCAAACCGAAAGTACATGGTGACCTTGTGAATTTGCCCAGTGCCCTTGTTTTCAATAGCCTGTTGGGTTCAGTGACTCTAGTGATCTCAGCCAGTCATGTCGTATCGGGAGTGTTCCTTTAGTTCATGTGCTTGCCTGTGTTCACTGGACACCTATAAGTAGGTGGCAAGTACATCCACCTAGTGTGTTGCAAGATATGCAAGTAGCACGCTTGTTCTCAAATAGTTATCATGTTCTCCCAGGTGATACACGAGAAGATCGTCTGGTCTTTGTTTTTCGGGATTGTGCAGCGTTCCTGTGAATTTGGATCAGAGAAGTCATCACTCCCTCACCGCTTAGCATTGCAACGTGCATGCCACCCATATGCATCTTTAGTGAAGATCACTACCTCTTCAGACATATTAGTATGGGTCAAGAATACACCACTATGAGACCACGGGTTTTAGTCCTTCTTCCATCCAGGGCAATGCATTCCCCTATGTTTGACGCACAGACGATTCAAACATGGAAGACGGGTGTCTTGTTTCGTGTAAGAAACAACCTGCTGCCAGTCCGGCAATTTCCTGGATCAATGGTCAAGGCTATGCTTCACCGGAGCACTTGAGCGACTGTTAGCGCTACGGTCATTGTCACATCTGGATTTATCTGCAAATGGAAGACGCCCCCGAAATAAAAGAACAAATTTTAATCGTTTGGTTTACCTTTGAATTGCCTGCAAGGTAGAGTCAACAATTAGCACCCACAATTGCAGGCATGTTCCCCTAGAAATATTGAGAGAACGCACCAACGGGTGCGAAACAGATCTTGTCCATCCACAGTCTGCCCGGCTGATTTGTGCACGTGCTTGCTTTTTGTGTTTTGGTTTGCTGTTTGGGCAGGGGGGTTGGCGTTTCGAGGTGTTTCGGGCTTCCTTCAAGCGTATGTCAAGTTTCTTCAGTTTTCTCCTAGTTCGGCAGTTCGGCCTCCCATGCAGCCACGCTGAACGGGGTATGTTGATACAGTTACAGGTACGTGTCAAGATTGGGGTACCCCGAACATGGCGGTTCTCTTGATATGGTGTCTCCTAAACCGACCTACTCGCAAAAGCAACACACTCCCGTGGCATACCTATGGCATACCTCTTTTGGAGGATGTTGCTAGTCCAAAGCCCCATGCGAATCACTCGTTGTGGCAAAAGAAAGACCTTGTGAGCATGTTCAGACGTGCTATGAAAAAACTGCCTCTCTACCCAACATGTACCCTGATGTTCGGCCAACACTTTGAGGAAAGAATACGTGCCCCTGGCAGTCTGTTTGTGAGCTACTTGAATCATGGGAGCATGACCCCTATCCCCTAAACCCCTCCCGACCCGCAGCGACAAGACGCTAATCAGTGGGTTGGTCCCGCATCATTGTGCAATCCTGGATAGTGAAGGATGCTAGAGGTGTACCACTCACCCCCTCCATTTTGAAAGCACCTTCTGTTGAAAGATCCAACCCCTGGCTTCCTTTACGGGGTCAAGAGTAGTGTAGACATGCTTAAGCAAGGCCGTTTATTCGTGGCATGGCCAAACGCTTGCTCGTTGAGTCCTGGAGCTTGACACTGAGGACTGCCGGCGCACAGGAGTTTCCGGATCTCTCGCAGGGGAGCTGAGGAGATTCGTGGGCGTCGTCTTTTTTTGGGCTACCCGTCCCACGCTTTTCACATAGAACCTTACAACGCGGGGAGTCCTGGTTTGGAACATTTTGGACAATTCTCCTTTTAAAGGGAGCGGGTCCCGAACGTCAGGCTTCGGCTGTTAACTGGTGGGAGGGTACATTGGTTCGTGGGGTTGCTTTGAGCCGGAAACCAAAAGGAAACTTATGATGGTCTTGTGGGCCCCCTATTTTAAGACACCCAAGTGCTTGTCTCACTTCGGCACGATAGCCCTTAGAGGAACCCCATTTAAACCATGGAGTTGACGGGCTCCGGGAGTCAATGGTTTGAACAGCCGCAAAGGACACCAACCTAAAGGACTTTCTCGGTTCGGACAGGGCCACGGCTTGTCCATGCAACCCAGGTTCGACCTTTGGCGCACCAATGCACAAATGCGAGTCCTCAGCCCCGCGAAACGGTTTGGCTCCATCGTCTTTGTCACTGGCCCAGAGGGTCCAAGTACCTTCTAAGGAGGCACTTGGACCCTCTGGGTGGGTTTTACTTCCCCCAGAAAACGACCTCAGGAATTCACTGGGGTGAATTGGGGAGTGGATATTTTCCGCGGAAACCACATGCCCCCAATTGAAGGTTATATATAGAGGAGTCGCAGAGTCCCAACGAGAGGTTTTGGGGAGATTGTATACCCTGGGTTCAGTTACCACCATTAAAACAGTGGAGGTTCATGTAACCACCCATTGTTTTCCCAAGGATTGTCATCCTCCAATTTGGGTCAACCTTTCTTTTCATGGGGGCAAGGAACCCTAGGGTGTGACTATGCCATGCAACACTTGGCTGCTTGAGATTCGCAGCAGGGAATACGCCCAGGACGGGCTTTCCCAAGGCCAAGGCATTTCTAAGGAGATCCCAACTGTCAAGTCGCCCACTGTCGAGTCTGAGTTTCACAATTGGTGTGGACAGATTTGGGTGTGGGTCAAAGTAAAACCACCAGAGAAACCGCAGGGTTGAGTCTTTGGTTCCTTTTAGTCTTTGGTTCCATTTTGGGAACGATTTGATTGACCCCAGGGCTCCTCAAAAGATACACTTTGCCCATTTGAAACATGTTTTTTTTTTCCGCCAAAATAAAGGGAAACCACCACTTACAAGGCAATGTTCAGATGTAAGGATCCCTGTGACCCATAGCCATTTGCGGCTCAAGATCCTCAGAGTTGGTCTGGTTGTTTTTCTTGAACGCGCCAGGGCCAGGGCCAGGGGGAAACCTATAGGTCCCCCAGCTAGGTGCCCTTTCTCACCCCTTTTTTGGGGAGGGTTCGGGACCCTACTAAAATAGACTACAGAAAAAAGTTGGTACCAACTTATTCTAACCTCTCTACTGAAGGACCTAGTAACTCAGAGGATCGTCACTTCGGATCGAGTCGAGGTCATGGTCCTACGAGTACCAGCGGCGGCGGCCTCGCATCGACGGACGAGCTAGCGGCTCCGGAAACTGACCCAAGCCTAGGCAGCCTTTCAAGGTATGGGTATGTCTGGACCCTCAAGCTACTGTACCCTTAAAAATGGAAACCACCAACGATAGAGGGTCCAGGGGTGGTTTTTTGTGTGTGGGGCTACCTTTTTCGTGACGGATGAAAGGGAAGTCAGAAGGAAATCCCACTCGTGTTTCGCGTTTTTTGTTGTTGTTTTTTTTTGGGGGGGGGGGGGGGGTGAGTCGCCATATTTTGACCATTTTGATCAGAAATATATGTTGGTAGTCTATGGATGTCTATGGCTCATTTCGGAGGGATATAAGAAACTTTTTCAAATGTCGCACAGAAACCAGGGGATTCATATACTAACTATGTGTCCCATGTCCTGTTGGATTTTGTCCTTGGCTCATATAGGCTCCCTGGTTTTGCTGACTCCTGTACCTGCGTGTTCAAAGTGAGGTCATTCGCTCCCCCGCACATTTATCGGAACACCACAGTACAAAGGGTTCAATAAAAATAGGAGCCCCCATAAATTGTTGGGATGCTTTTGATTTTGGTTCCTCTCAGAACCAACCAAAAAGAGGTTCCCCCAAAATTGACACGTTTGTTACACTCGTTTGGAGGGCGGACAGTGGAATTCTATGTGTTGGGTGTCGAGTTGCACCGAGGTTTCAGTTGGTTGGGTGGTTTATCCCAGCTATCTTGGGCTTTGACATTTCGCAAGGCGATTGCAAGTACTACGTCAACAATCCACGCACCTTTGCGCAGGTTTTGTTTCTGCTGTTTGAGTGCCCAAAGGCGATCGTGTCAGAAGCCAGAACTCAATTGCTCCACTGGGGAAATCCAGGGGCACTTGTGCCCCGCCCCGCCCAACCGACCTCCCACCCCCCCAAGCGACCTCCAAGCCGAGGTACTGGCAAAACATCGTGGGATCCACCTGTAGCCCGCCAGGGCCTTCAGCTTGGTCAATTGGGGTGCTGGGGACAAAAATGGTACTGGACCACAGGTGTTTTAGGAATGATCTCGATTTGGATTAATACGCACGCCCTAGTCGTAGGTGCCCCCTCGGATCCCAAAGTGATGATTGTCCACTCGGCCCCGGCGACACCCTAAGCCTAGAATGCTGGGGTGGATCTATTCGGAATTTCCTTTCGGCGGCGGTTTCGAAGTTCTGCGGGCTCAATTCCTCGCCGGTGTGACCCCATCCCACGATGGTTCCCTCTAGAACCATCTTAGGGATCGAATATGTTTGTGTTTTGTTTGTTTTTCGGGAAACTCCCCACAATGGCTTTGGTTTTCTTGTTGGTTTCCCTTAAACAACTACAAAACAGGGGCACCCTGAAAAAAGGACACACCCGTATGTTGGATAGGCGAGTTTGTTATAATTGATCGAGCACTAATGGAGTTCCAAAGTTGGCAGTCTCCCTATGCTTCCTTGTTGCTTGATGAATATAGGCTTCGATGAGCTTCCTCTTGGTGGGGATCTTGGTTGTTCAGTATCGCAAGCGTATCTTTCGCAAGCACTTTCCCTTTGTGGGTAAAATGGAATCTGTCCGAGACTCATATATGAGGACCTCTGCCTTTTCCCAGCCTATGAGCCACCAAGTCACCTGAGGATAACTTGGCAATCGCCCATCGACATTCCAAAGTGCCTCGGCCAATCGATGGGATGGGCGCTGGGAGCCAAAATGTGAGGCTAATTGAAGGTTAGTGGGGGACAGCCCAAACCCTTCCTTCTGATTCTCTACATGATTGGAACTCAGATAGCGTTCCTCCTTTATGCTTTGTTGCATTCTTGTGAGTCCAATGTAGGGCAAGTAGGAAACACAAGTTGCTGGGCATTGGGGATTCACAGCCAGCCTGGTCAGGATCGTGGAATGAAATAGAGGTAAGGACGAAGGCACATATTATAAAGTGCTTATTCGCGAGGCCAAGACCTTTCCCTCTACCAGGATGGTTCCAAGAACCCTCTTGGAAAGCACGCGTGATGTTGAGGACAAGTCCCCCCCACCTCTTGAATCCTTGGTCACCATGGTCCATGGTCCCAAAATGGGGGTTTTGTTTGAGGCACGGTACCGGAAACCCAAAGGCACGCCATTTTGTTGGGCCACCTATCTTGACACATAAGAACAACTTTTGCTGGGCCCCAAGAGAAACCCGCATCTTTCCCAGTGGGGATGGTTCATTTCGTGCCTCAAGCATGCCAGGTGCAGGGACAGCTCTTGGATCTCTATACTTCTCGATCCAGTTTTCCTCAATAGGATAATGACTGTTGCCTACTACAAGGTCGAAACGAACCGGATTCCTGGGATCCACGGGAGGTCCTTTCAGCTAGCTTGCCTTGCCGAGACTTGCCAGGGCTTCGTGGGGCGAATGTTCTGAAGGCTTACCAGCCATGTTGATCAAAAAGCTTACATGGGATGACCATTGGTTGGGAAACCACAAAATACATGACACCTGCATAGACCCCAGATAGCGAAAAACTGCACCTGCACCCCCCAGCACCCAGCCGCAAGTCACTTTCCCCGAATCATATTTGCCACGGGAAAAGTTACCCATGGTCATTTGGGGGCCAGGAATATAGATCAACCCATATTTTGTGGGACCTCAGGCCCCAGTGTCTGGTTTCCTCTTTTTGGGAAGGCCAGTTTGGTAAACCGGCAAACACAACTAGGTCCCCCAGTACTGCCATTTTATCGTTTCTTTTTTGGAGGAGGGTTCCCCTACTAAAATAGACTACAGAAAACAAATCGGGTACCCTTATTCTAACTTCTCTACCGGAGGACCTAGATAAGGTGGTCTCCAACAGGGATCGGTGCGCAGAGGTTGGTACGCAAACATGGCGCTGGTGTCCTGCCGGTTTCCCTCTCAGAAACCTTCTACCGGAAATCCGATTTCCAGTTTGAGGTTGGCCAACCCAAGAAATGAGATGCGGGTTTGCTGTTTCATGGCATGGACGTGCTCCACATGTTCACCACAAGGGTAGAAAGTTGGTAGGTTCCTGGGACACAACCGGACCACAAGTGTTATACACGCAGAGCAACTTTGCTAAGTCGGTCTAGCTGGTCTTCCTGCACTTCCGGTAAGCACAAGCCACCGAAACCAGAACGAGTGTCCTGTGAGCAACCTTGTCAAGACGCCCGGTCCCTGAGTTCCTGTTTGCTGACTTGAGTTTGGACCATTTTGGCAAAGTGGTTCGCAATCCATTTTTGCGGCAGGTCTCCAGTGAGTTTTGGTTTGTTTGCTTTCCTTAAACGATCTGGGGGGGTTGGTCTGTTGCTCTTTTTTCAGGGATTTGGGGATTGGGTGGGGGGGGGGTTGTTGGTTTTTCTTGCGGACTTTTGGGGGGGGGGTGCAAGTCCTTTCCCAGGTCCTTGGAGTTTATCACAAAGGCAAACCTCACGCGGGCGCCGGCATGTTTGGGAGAGCGGTTTGGTTTGGAATTTGGGTGTGGCTCAAAATTAACCAGGAGGGGTTACGCAGGTTTTGGTCCATGTTTCCACGTACCAGGGTTCCATTTGGGTACCGGTTTTTTGAGCCACAGCCATTTTGGATTTTTCCAGAAAGTTGCAACTTCTGAAGGGAAGTTCAGTGATCCCTGTGGTTTGCGTTTTGGGCGTCGAGGGATCATATGAGTCTATCGCCACGGCCTCTAAGTTGCAAGATCAAAGCATGTGAAACTTATGGCTTGACCACTCGTGTGTGTGTGTGTGGATGTGTGTCCAAGCCTGTTGGCCTGGAAACATTCTGAACTGGGCACACGGAGAAGGAGAACTGGATTCAAATCACAAGATCTCAAGTTGCGGAGAAACAAACGAGACCTCCAATTGTTAACATGGCTTCTTCCTTCTTCTTTTTTTTCCCGAAGGAAGTCCCCTTTTTAAGTCAACTATGAAACAAAGGCGGCCACTGGAGGTAGACATGTCTGGGGTTCTGAGAACCATCATGCTGGGAAGGGAGGCTTGTAATGATTTGCCTTACCTAAGAGATGTCATAGGCCTATCCAGAAGTTGGATGGCCACAGCAAAACTCAAGCCGACATTTGGATTGGCCTCAATCGATGCAATGTGAACCGCACCCATTCGCCATGACTGCGCACATTGAAGCATTCTGCTGCTTACAAAGCACGCCCACGTTGAGCGAGCGCGTGCTAACTTGCACAAGGCGATCAACTTGCAGCAGCATCAAACATCAGAAAGGCCACTGGTTGAGACTTCTGATCCAGATTGCTCCCAGTGGATCCCAGTTACCTATTTAGTAGGTAACCCTTCGCCATGTGTGGTTTGGTTTTTATATCGGCTGGCAAGCCCTTGGATACCGAGGGAAATGGAATCTCTGGCATTCCCAGCCTCCTCACCGCCCACATGGGGGCACGTGGCTTGTGGGAATGATCAAAGTGCTTTGCCATTCCAAAAATGCCCTCAAACATGGCAAATGTTCAACACCCCCTCAAAATATGATCAAAGTGCTTTGTTTGCCATGTCATATTTGGACCCCCTCAAAAAGATGTTGAATTGCCGGAGGGTGCAGTCTGGACTGTCATATTTATGGTTCCATTTTCTCGTGGGGAGAAGGTTGGGGGGATGCCTGTGATCATAGGTGTCCTTTTTGGTTGATTTGGTTTAAAAATAGAGGGCGATTCCTGGTTTACCTGGTGGTTCAATCAACTACCAGGGAAACCCATACATTTTCCCAAAAAGGACACCTATGCCTGTGATATGTTGAGCCACACCTATCGAGGCAGGTGGACGACGGGCAGCGGCTGGGGCCCTTCGCGCCTGCCTTAGCGAGATTCCATGTGGCTCACTCGGGCGGGTCGTCGTTTTTTGAGTTGGTATCCCCTCTCTTAGGTGGTTTGAACGGAACCAAAAGGAAAACCCGCCCAAATTTTGCAGGGTCCCCCCAAAAAAAGACACCAACTTGAAGCTTAATTAGGAACCACCTTGGTGGACATGAACCCCAAATGTTGATGTCCACCAAAGGGTCCCTAATTTAGATGTAAACATCATACCAACTTTTTGGGTTTGGACCATTTTAGTGGCAAACAGTTTGGGCGTTTTTTGGCCAGTCTACTCAAGTGAGCGAGAGTCTGAAAAGGGTTCCCGGCAGACTTCAACCCAGTGTGATTTCCAGAAAGGTAATCAGATTTCTTCGATTCGGGGTGTTCTTGTTTGCAGGACTGGGCCAGGTTCAGTTTGTTGTTGACTCCAAAAATGGGAATGGCCCAAGAGTCATGAAGATAGACAAATCGACGGACCAGCCTTTTAAATCAAGGCTGCTGCATCAATGTGCCCTTAAGTTTCATTCAGGCGGTCAACAAAGCAACGTTTGGCAGGCGGCGGGTCCCTACGTGTTGCGAATGCAGCTGGCTGTTGTCTCAACAGACAGCCCCGATGCCCAATACTTCCCTTTTTTCGGATCTTTTGTGTACTGGCCCATTTGAAGCGCAGGGGAGATGCTTAAAGGGGAAATAGTGGGAACACGTGGTTGTTGGGAAACATTTTACATTTTTGCTTATTGTGGTTTAGTGGGATTTCTTCACTTAACTGCTAACATTTATTTTTTTTGCTCCCCTTCCAACGTCAACCAAGACCCCCTGACGTGTTGAAGTATTGCTTGGTCGGCTTTGGGGCGGATGATGCTTGCCTCAGCTGGCGGCGGTGAAAAACCTCGGGCCCAACGTGCCCGGCCTTCCATGCGGAGGCCTGGAGTACAAACAAGCCCAATTTGAACGTCACCCTGCACCCAGGACTGGGGTGGGTTCCGCGCGTGTAGAGCACAGGACCCTTCCAGGTGTTGGCAGAATCCTTCTGCCAAGCAAAGTTGCCACAGTTGGGAGGCCCGTGAGTTCTGACAAATTTGCAATTCCAAACATCTTTGCTCGATCACCCGGCATGACGAATCTGGGCTAATCATGGCAAATTGAGGAGTACCAGTTGAGTGGGCAAACACAGCGTTTTGATCGCAGTTGCTTCATTTCAAGGCCAAACAGGTTTAAGGCTAATTACTCTGGCAAGTTTAAGGCTGAACTTAGGTTGGATTGTTTTGAGCATCTCGGCCAATTTGGTTTGGGCTTTTCGTTCCGTTTGAAGTCGGCTCAGGTCTAATTTGAAGTCGAGGGATTCTCAGCTTGCCAAGTGAAGTCCCGGGGTAGTGCTTCTCGTTTTGCAGGAACATCCGTGGCCGCATCCTTTGGTACAATCAAGAGTGACACATCGCGTCTGAAGTCCATCGTTTGATCCGTGACAGGAGGTGCCCCAAAGGTGACCTTTGCTTGCAACGGTCTGCAACCATAGGTGTCAGTTTTAGGTTAGTCTGGTTAAACATAGAAGGCGCTGGTTTAGATTCGGTTTAGATGGGTTGCATGCCCCATTTATCGGGGACACCCATTTTGATTTTTCCACCAAGGACACCTACTTCCATTTGGTTATGAATATTGATTTCTTTTTTTTTCTCCCCCTGTTGGGTTTGAAGGGAATCTATCACTACTGGAATTATGTGTTGTTTTCTTTTCTTTTTTTTCTCCAGGGGACGAAAACGCACATGGAGGCCTATGTTTGCAGCCCCTCTTGCTGAGAAAGTCTCTGGCAGGCCATGAACCATTGGAGGTTTTGTTGGGGTGGTCTTCACGAGCCTTTGACGGCAAGCCAACTGGCTGTGGCTCAAAAAACCGGAATTCCAAAATGGCTTGGCCTGGCAAGTGGAAACATGGACCAAAACCTGCGTTTTGCTCTCCAGTTTAATTTTGAGCCACAGCCAAATGTGGCTCAAAAACATGGAGACCAAAATGGCCGCTAGATGGAACCGAAGACTAAAACCTGCGGTTGGCCCTAGCTCATTAATTTTGAGCCACACCCAAGTTTCGTCGAAAGGGGAGCCACGATGGGGACACCCGACCATTTGCAGCGTTCCCATTTGACAGTCCCAGCCAGAAACAGGTATATATCTATATACCCGCCCTGCATCTGCTTTAAACATGTGTATAGACCAGAGTACCAGGTTTCGCTGTTTGGAGTTTGCATCTCGTGGATATGGCAGAATCTGGACGGGGGCGCAAGAACCAAGTTGAATGGGATTTCGGCGAATCGCGAACCCCTCGAATTTGTCATGCGGGGCTTCCTAGTGACCCAGCTACCTTTCAACTGGATGAGGTTGTTTTGTCCCCTCCATTTGCTTAAGAATCGATGTGTTTATTCCCCCGTTGCTTTTAAAGGAAATTGATCACTATACTGGAAATTTGTTCTCATGTTGTGTAGGGACAGCAAACTCAAATTGAGGATAAGGAAGTGGGCTCTGTAGGGAAAGATTGACCACCAGACATTTGGTGGGTTCAAAATGAAAGCTGCAACTACTCGAATGTTTGTCAAAAGCCAACATTCACATCGATCAAACTTCCCAGCGGTCGAGTAGGTCCATTTGGGCGGCGCATGTGCGAACTCACTACATTTCCCATGTCCTTTTGAGAGATTTCGTGGGTCCGTGAGTTTTGATAAATCCCTTCCCCGTATTCAATCCTGCCCCGGCCCTATCAATGCATGTTAATTTGGGTAAATATGTTTATTAGCAGGGTCCCAGGAAGTGTCCAGCGGGGTTCCACTACGGTCCTCGTCCTATCCCCCCTCCGTCAAAATCGCAACCTGCCGAGTGAGGAATGTATCAGATTTGCTCAAGGCA